TACTCAGAAAGCAGCTTTTTTAGCCTACTTCGTTGGTATCTACTGCGGCTATGTTTGCTTTTACGAACGGATTCAAAGTGGAAATGCAGACTAGGATTGGAACTCCAATCCGAATCATCTAGACAGAATTACGTGATTAAGGCTTTGGCGTTAATTCTGATTGCAACAAGCCACCCGTACTACCAGCATTAAGTAAGCGCTCATCATAGTGAAAAAGGCACGGAGTGCTGATAATCATAACAGATCGAACTCAAGTGAGTGATTATTTGATTATGCAGTTTTTATGCATATACAGTCTAGTACAAGTCTTCGTGGTAGCTTTATGGGTAGCGTATTTGCCTGCTAATATGAGAAATACGTTGTGGTCTAGGTTCGAACCCCGGCATAAACATACGGTTCGTTTTGTGCTGGAAGCCATGCGTCTGACGGAACGCCTAACAGCAAAACCGGATTTTTTCAACTGGTTACCGTTGATGATTATCGTAAATTATGTGGACGAGATTGTGAGAAGATATTTTTTCAGAAGAGAAGTGTCTGTTGCTAAGGATTACTCAGTAAAAATGCTTATTAATTACAGTGCACTTGCTTTTGTGTATAGTAAAATACCATATGAACGTTATCAAAGCTATATAGTACAAATGCGAAGTATCTCGTTACGAAGAAGCTATGCAGTGCTTTTGTGTGCGACGCTAAATTAAAATGATAGTTTATTCGAGTATATGGCTGAAGAAAACTGATATCGTCAGCTCACGTTTGACGTTCATTAAGATGTCAAGCGTATATATCTTTGCTTTATTACTATACGTCCATGAACATTCAGAGCAGAATTTGGAGTTTTTATTAAGACTTCTCAATTCACCGACTTCCTCCTAAAACGTACGGCATACGTCGTATATATGTAGCTAATCACAGAATACGAGGTCATATGCTGCCCTCCCAACGAGACCTTCTGTCGTTGTCACATGCCGACACGTCTTATTTTTGCACAAATGCGCACGTCAAGTGAACCTCATGCAGGCCTAATGGTAGCTGTACGGTTCCAATAGACCGAACCCTGGCAGCTGAAGCTTTTCAGATCATATTGAAGTATTCGGTTTCTCAACAGCCCACGGTCGTAGGCTGGTCCTTGCCACAGCCTCCCTCCCACCACATTCTCCAATCGCTAGAATAACGCGTGAACATCGTTTTGACGACAGTCGTTCTATTCGTTTTGAAGATGTCCAACTCCGACGCATTTCCAGCAAAATCGCACAAAGATAGCCATGCTTCGAATGGCGGCGTTAAGGACAATTGTTCGAACTCGCAGCACAGAGCGACCTCTCCCCCCCTTCCGCCCACACACACACACACACACGCAATACCTCTATAAGTAGATCGTGAAATGTGGGGTTGTCGGCTTTGTCCTATTGTTATTGAACCTTGTTTGTTATAACCTCAAGAGCAAATTTTCTTGCCGCCTATTGTCGCTTTCCATTAGCTGTGTGAATAGGTTTATATGTTTGTGCATGGTAAAAACATCGCTCGGGCAGGCCAGTCTGACCGTCTATTGCTTCGCCTGTTTGTCGCCCTAGCGACAATAGTAGAGCAGCCGAAGAAAAAAGTGCACAGTTTTCTTTTTTCTATGCTATGTATGCGTTTAGTTGCTATCATCATGTCAATGGCAGTGCAGGAGCAGGAGCAGGAACAGTAGCTAGTGCAGTCTATAGCATGCAAGCGAAGCATGGCACCTCTACATCGCCAATACATACATGGGTTACGCTGCCGTAGCACCCTTCGACTTTATTATTTCGCCCAGCTATTCCTTGCCCACTTCTTTCTGTGTATCTTTATCATTGTTGTTTGAAAAATAGCGTGATTCCCCGTACCTCTGATGTAGGGTAGAACGGCAACGAGGGAGGCATTGGGAAAAAGACAACGATAGGGCAAATAAAAGCGTGAAGGATGAAATGCGGGTACAGAAAAATACGATGCATTGAGTACAGTGAAGAGGGAGACGCAGCGGTTCATCACGGTGAGTGAATGGAGTAGCAGAATATAATTGGAAGCTAGCTGATATAAACAGAAAAACTAAACGCAGAGAGCGGACAGCATTGGCAGGAGAAAGGCCAGCCGGAGTTGTGTCGAGTGGAAGAAACGCGTGAAACGTATACCATCTACCACGCACTGATCCTTTTCTACCAATCACACTGGAAGTGATACCAAAACAGAAGGAGAAATAGCGTAACAACGAAGCAGGTCGGGTCCGCCAGCGTAATTATTGGCTCTGTAACCAAATAGGAATACGAAAAGGATTAAGGGTACGTCAGTGAGAACGTTGACGTTATCGTACTGACTTCGGGTGACGAGCGTGCCACTTCGTGTCGCTATGGTACCTGGCCAGTTGCTCATAAAGAAAAATAACCACAAAGACGAATGCTTGTAAACTCGAATGCCTGTATCATAGGGAAGCAGAAGTGTGTAAGAATTTATATCCTGAGCAAAAAGAAAGCAGTGATAAGGAAAGCATTTACTAAGATTAACGGGCCAGAAACTGGACAAAATACATTGAACATCGACCATTATTGCTCGTAAAAGTGACGCTAATTTGCTTGTTCAATAAACGCTATGTTGCTATGTGTGTGATGTATCTATTTAACACCATAATAAAATACAAGGTCCATGAACAAAGCCTGAGTGAGCCGAGATTGAGTACCACCGATACGAAATTACCAAAATAGAACAAGACCCAACAGCAGGAAGAGGGCAATACTGCATGTCGTAGGATGTCGAGAACAGAACATAAGGCATAAGAAAGACTGGACGGGGCTAGGAAATAACCTACGAGCGACTAAAGACCTAAAACAGTTGGCGGGCATAAGCCTACTGAAGAAGCAAGCACACCCTGCAAATAATGGTAAAAGTGGCTATGAGTTGCAACGTTTTTGGTATCGGCAAAAAACCCATCGCTACGTGGCACCGCGGCTGGCTGAAGTAACAAGGACACAATATGACAAGCAAGAAGCAAGGAATAAGCAAGCGAAGAAAGAAACATAGGGAAAAAGGCAAACAATGAGACTTCAATACCACCCAGGTAATACATAGGACGCCCATGTTTATTAGAGGCGAAAGCAAACAGCTGCCGCAGCATAAAAATGAAAATAAAGACCTAGGAACCTAATGGAGGCTATCACAGGGAAAAGCGAAAAAATTTACTGCGTGAAAACAGATACACGAATAACGAGTAGTCAGAGGCAGCTGGGCAAAGGTGCACAGCAAAGGTAGCATCGTGTTCCACGACCCAACTCCACCTGCGAATTATCTATTCATCTGCTGTGCGCCTGCTTGCTCTTTTATCAAAAATTAGCATTTGTTCTTCTACTTCTTTCGGCCACATCTCGAAATTTCTTTAGATCCAAATGTCACCTTCTTTTTAAGACCGTTCCCACTTTTATGCATTGATTGCTAGAACACCTGAATATAGCGAGGGTGACGGCGACAAACGATAGCGTGGGACTTGCGCCACTTGAGCCTACCCGTTCGTAGCAGAATCATAGAGAACCATGGTCGGTTCGAAAGCACACAGCGGACGCATTATTCACCGAAATACTCTTATATCATACATCACGCCTTCAAATGTGAAAGGTTGGTTGACTGCGAGATATCTGTAAAATCATAATCGGCCAAAAAAATAACGTCAGACAGTAAAAGGCTTCACTCATCGAGGACCATCGCTTATGCCAGCAAGCCGTCAACGAGCGACCACAATAGCGATGTGCTTTTATATCGAGAAATTGCCCGTTCGAATCTATATACATATGTATGTATGTATATATCTGTTCCTACGAATACGTTATGTGTCGCGCACAAAGTATAGGGTGATTTCGATCGCCCTTTTCGCAAAGCAATGTTTTGAAAATTTAACGACGACCATTTAAAGACGAACGATGCACAGTGGTAAGGATAAAACAGAAAGGTGTATAGTAGATAACAGACCAGCAACAGAACAATCCTTCTGGGTGTTGATTCTCACGGTACATAGAACTGGAACGCAGGACGATCAGAAGAGTCTGTTTTATACTAAGCGAGAAGTACCGGTATAGCAGACGATTGCAGTTCTATTTGCTTGTAAAATAGAACAAAGCGTGGCTAAAAAATCACTTTTGAGGAAACATCCTCATCATAAATATGAAATCCAAGAGTCATAGGTTAAAAGGCTAAGTTATCTCGCAAATTCAAACAACATTCATTGCACCGTATCAATAGCAGATAAAGGCGCACATCTTAAGCACAGAAAACTTCAAATGCAAGGTTATTCAAACTCATTTATATTTTGTTGCTTGAGATGAGATTATTCCCGCGTGGGCCGTCTAAAAAGGTCAAGAAATATGCTGTCGCATTATTCGAATCTACCTGACTCTGACACTGTGTGCTTTCAACAAATACATAAAGCACCATCCTGTTGCACTTCAACCACAGTAAGTTATTATATACTTACAAACGGCCGCTTGCTTTAGGTAACTATCTTTTTATGAATTCATTACCGATAGCCAGGAGGAAACTTCATGTAAACCGCTATGTCTATACACGGAGACAGGGATGCAGGTATTCTAGAATCTACTGCAACAGGATTTGACTGTTGATAATTTCAGTGCTGCAGAGTTATTTCGGATCTATCGAAGAGTAAATTGGAAGGACAGGTTGATCCAAGACATGAAATGATCCTTGAGTAGACCACAAACTGCCTTTACAAGGCGAACTCGTGGCCTACTTTTAGGTGAGCAAATGCACTCACGGCAAAGCGAAACATATAATTATTCGAATAAAAGCGCCCGTTAGTAAGAAAGATGCATATATATTAAAGCATGAAGACATTCCATAGTTGAACAGGCCTATTTTATCTCGTAAATTCATAGTTTATAATATATTGATTCTTTTTTATGAAAGATGCTAGTCCTGAATAGATGATAGTTGTGCAAATACGAACCTTTTTTTGACGATTCTTCACCCTCGATACAGCCCAGGCATGGGCAGCAGTTTGAGGGGACTGCTCGCAGCGTTCCAAAGATGGGCTATTTTTTTTCTGCTCAAACTTTTTCGATTAGCAGCTTTGCTTCTTTGGGCTTCTGAAATTGAAAGTAATTACATTGAGTAATGTGCCTCCAATTTTTGTTGTAGAGTGCTCAATTTGAACTCACTCTCTTTTAGGATGATTTTACCCCAATAGTCAACTATGTCGAAAGTGAAGCATCCAAAAAAACCGACTGCTGTATAGCAACTGTAGAATGTCACATAGATACAATATATACGGCAGTAGAAAAAGCGCGATTAAGAGTAAAATATCCTGTCAGTAGCTATTACGGGGATAATAAAACGTAACATACAATTTCGTAGTGCTTCAACTGCTTCGTCTCGGTCGAGGAAATGTCGTGAACATAGTGTTGTTAAAACCTGTAACCAGACCTGTAAACGTATAAGCCAAAAACATGCATTTACTACTCCTCAATGGCCAGCGCACACATGGCGCACAGGGTACGAGGAATGTGTGGCCTTTTTTTTCAATCTATGCGCTAAGATGAGTCTCAAAAGAAATCCTAGCGACTTCTCTCATTGATACTGCAGGTAAAATTGAGCGTTATAAGCTTGTCACTTGCGTTTGCCTCTTCTGTGAGTCGTCTTCCGCCTGTTCAGTTTTCTAATATCTGTGTGAAGTTTTTTCTATATAGGGTCGTGAAGCTGTAAGCAATACGAAGCCCAGTCCTAGCCGAAACTAGCAACTCTATACGCTTTCCGTGCGCTCTAAAGCTTTCTGACAGCGTTTGTCTTTCTCGTGTTGGAAGCTTTATAGTCAGACACGGCATCGGTTGTGCCCGACAAAAAAACGGTCGAGAGGTGGTACCGATGTAAGCCCTTAGTGCCGATAGTTTTCTATGGTACATCGGGCAGATGGCGCATCGAAGGGGCATCGCAGAACCAAATTGATCTCCGACGCAGACAAGCCTGAATTTGTCATCCGGATTTGCGGAAGCGAGGTGATTCCGCAATCGAGGCCATTTTCAAGCGCGATCGTTTTTCTCCAACGACCAACTGCTTCAGCACCCACTGCCTCTTACTAAGATCTTTTGCGGCTGAAGGGAGCCACGATAAAGGTATGAGGAACCTGCTGGCTCTCTTATCGCGGACTGCATCGTTGAGATATTTCAAAGTCATTTCAAGTAAATCTCTCCACGTAAGCTTGCTCACCAGTTTACTTAACACTCTTTCCCTCGCATCCCTGGGCTGTTCCTTAGGCTAATACTCCTAAGGTTTGTGATCTTCGACAGCGGCCGTTGTCATCGTAGTCCTCGAAGTTTCTGTAACTTCTTTTGACAACAACAACATTACATCGCTTTATAGATTGCTTGTCAAATAAGCGTTTGCCGGCGGTGAGCAGAGTTAGGATCCAAGAAGACGAACGATCCCGCGTGTTCTGGAGAGCAGTCAGAAAAGTCTAGAAGCGGCTAGTCAAGCAAGGTCCGACAGGCTAGATGGATTTAAAATTTTCAGCATCAGCAAAAACGTACCGACAGTGATCATCGGGTTTCCTTTGATTCGTAGCTGAATGCAACACGCTGTTTTGGGGTGCGCTTTTCTGCTGTAGTAAATACTAGCGTGCAAATAGTTCAGAATAATTGATGAAACTTTATGTATTTTCTCTTAGATATAATATGTGCGTCGGTGCATAGTTGTATAGTAAAATGATATTCAGTATGAATTTTACTACCAATCATATGCACGTCAATATGCATCATGCGCATATTTAAATCTTGTAGCCAGGACAGCTAATAAAAATAGCTTTACGGTTACTTGTATTATGGCCTATCCTTAGGAGTGCACCTGCTTACTCTCAGTTAGGACCGATCAAGCCAATTAGTTTTCTGTTCGTCGCTATAGTCCTTTGATCTGTTAAAAAAATGCCGCCTTTTTGGAAATCTGTAGCCGGCCTAGTTGAGTTTGATACGACAAAGCGGGCCTGGGTTGACATGCCTTAAGTTACCTCAATTGCCGCCATGTCCCCGCTTCCTCGATCTTTCATCGAGTCGTCATCGTCTCGACCGTCCCTCGTTGCATAGCATTGCAAGAGACATGAACGTGGTGGCATCGAAATGTGGTGCCATCATGGTATATTTCCTTGTGCCAGTTTATACGTGTGCAGGTACGAGGGACTATTTGGTATTAAGACGGAAAAGAAAAGACTGCGATACTGGAGATTAGGGACTAGCAAAATGACTGACTACTGGGTAGCTTCTGCGGTGAGGTCAATGTAGTAGAACGATGTGCGTTTTCGTCTTACAGCGAAGAGAGAAGCGGATACCTTTTCTGTAATAGACTAAAGGGCATACATCTCTTTTGTCGAAAGGCAGATTAAGTACGAGATAAAGAAAGACAGAACCTATGAGCAAGACGTTCGTTACTGGCATCAGCAAGGCCTGAATCGCGATAGGGCCTCAGGTACAACACGGTGCGCCATCGTGTGCAGCCATACTGAGCGAAAGGAGGCCAACTTTCTCTGCTCTAAGTGATGCAACCGTCGAATTATCGATTCTGTTCCTGCTGTAATGCTGGTTCGGTTCTGAAGTAACGTGAAATGATGTCGGCCCCTGACCGCCACGTCGGACTACACCCAATAAAACTGTCATACTCAGCACAAGTCCGACACATATACCGAAAACGGTAGTGAAATCCGTGGTCGGCTAGAAAAATTCAAGGGGAAAGCTGAAGCTTGCAGGCATTGTGGAACAGACGAGCAGATGAAAATACCAGCCCTACGATCAGGTGAATAGAGAAAAAAAAGTCGATATAACTGGCTTCAGTCAAACAGAAAGGAGTGCACTTCAGAATGCAGCCAGCTACATCGAAAACATACGGCGTCGGGTATTACTTACCCAGCTTCACGAAACAGTTTGAAAGAAAATGCTGTACCGAAGATCCATAATAGCACAATTTCCAGACTACGAACGCTTTACCTGTCGCATAGTAATAACATAAAAGTACCAGCAATAATATGCAGGTACTTTATAGCTATCTCTCAAATCATGACTGTTTGCCATTTCTAGTACGCATTTCACTGTAACAAGAATGATTAAAATGGTATTAAGAGACAACTGATTTATTTGTTCTTATTAGTATCCCTTGACGAGGTAAGTTTTTTTAAACAATTGTAAAAATATTACATCCTAAACGCTAAACCTTACGAACACTTCAGTACAATTGCTTCAGATGTTCGCATCATTGCCATCGCGTTTACCTAGGTACACGTGACTAAAAATCGTCAGACGACTATTATAAGCGGATTATTATATACGTTTGGTCTTCTAGCCGCAGATCCGCTCCAAATGTAGACTGTTCACTCTGTGAGCGGGAAATCATACTGAGCAGCTGGCTGAGCAGATAGTTGGATGGATGACTGCTGGTGGCGTTGACTTATCTGCATTATTTGACGCGGAACTGTTGTATTGCAGTCCTCTTAGGGAGCACAGTACCTCCGTTGCTTTGCCATGGGTCATAGCCTGAATACCACTCACACATTTTTGCCACGTGAATGTGACGCCGAAAGACGTCTAATTCTATAAGGTATGGCACGACAAAGATGGCGGAAGAGTGAGCTCGCAATTCAAGACCATGCCAAGATGCAGGCGCGATGTTTTATTAGTGTACTCGTGGTGGGCTGGCACTTCGGCAGTTATCGTTATGCCGAAATCTTGTGGGGAAACGGCATGAGAGTTTCGACCGGCTTCGCTGGTACAACGTTGTTGCCAAAAGCAGAGGTGCCATAGATCATCGTAGCGGACGAATGATCGTGTATTTTCGCTAACTCTGCTCGCTCTCGAACGCGTCGGTTTATTTAGTGCTAACCCGCCTCTTAGTTCTTCGTACTAGCTGGTGAGACAGTGCTGGCAAAGAGGAGGAAATTGACAAGTATCGAAGTGCCGGGAGCATTGAGGAACATAAAAGTCCCTTCTAAAGAACCACCACTGCCGCCGTTCTGCTTCTAAACACATTCGGTTTGACGTACCAACTTGTTCTCTTTATGGAAATTCCAATCTCTTGTTTTTTTTTTTCAATTTCTCATCTTTCCAATAAACTTAGCACCAGAAAGGGAATAACGAAAAGAGAAAACCGAGATAAATAAAACTGCAAGCGGGTAACCGAATTACCAACCGACTTAAGGTATATGTGAGTGGGTGAGCCAGCTAGACAACGAAAGAGAGTTTGAGTTGCCTGAACACTAGTATTCCAACGGCAGCGAAGCCCTTGGCGGCTGCTTCTCGTGCAGGACGAAGGGTTCGAATGCAAGGATACAAGATGGGGCCGGCCAAGCAATAGATTCTTTGATGCGTGCCTTCTTAGCAGCAGCGGCGGCGGCTGCTGCTGCTGCTGCTGCTTTTATTTGAGTTGCCTATAGGAACGCCAGTTAAACAGCAGAGCTAAAAACAGCTGGCAAAACTTCTATGGTTGGGATCCAATGCAACTTTCTGTTGTGTTCCTATACCACGAGAGATTTTCCCTGACATCGGCCCTGCCGTTCGAAATATTGCCAGCGGCAGTGTGGCTACGAGAGACAATGTTATGAAATGCGGTACGCAAGCAACCACAAAGTAGAATTTTTTCCAATTTCATTGCCATCTATTTTTTCCATAGTTCCTTATTTTCGGTAGCTCAGCCATTGAAATCCTCTTTGTATGGTGGAAGAAATTGGAAAGCAAGTGGCTCTTATTTCGTAGCTCTAGTACGAATTTTAGCATGAAACATGTATGGGGTCTTTGCTTAGATCTGCGTCTTGATCTCCTTCTCGCTACTTTCTTCGTGTCCTGTTCGATTCATATTCTAACCTTCAGAAGGACTGCCAGATCTTATACTACTCTTCAGCAATGAACGCTATAAGCCTACTGGTCGAGAACAGCCACACAAGCGGCAAGTGGCAGTCAAACGCACTGGTCCGACACCAACGATGGTAGTAGCATTATGAGAAGGGGGCTCTTGCGTTTTTTTGAGCACCTCCAAAGCTCAATGGAAAACCCCTTAGACCCGCTTTTTTTTCTACCGCTAGCAGAAGCAGAAAATACGACGGAGAACCAGTTCGACCGTTTGTTGTTTTACCTTCTCTGCCACTGAAGCCGCTATTGCCTTGCGCGTCCGAAGGAGTGCCCGCAGTACTTCAGTGTCTTCTTATACTATCAGAGTGCGATAAGCACACATAGTACAAAAGCACACGTACTTCATGTTCCATCATCAAGCTGTTCCTGTCACAGCTACGTTCTCTTCCCGCTCTGCACAAGCAGTTAGAAGCCATAATCGCTCGTATGGCAGATGCCCCACCAAACTATTGCTTCCAACCTTGCGCGGCAGGAGGTTATCATCCTAGTACAGCTGTCCCGGATCAGAAGAAACAAAATGCGATAGAACAGCAGGAGAAAAACAGCAAGAGGTAAAAGAAGAAGCACAATAGACCCTTTTTTGGTCCTTTCGCCTGCACTAGTGGTAGTAATACAGCAATATCTAGCGGCAATGGAGTCGGGGTCTAGAAGCGACAACACTAATGTCGCAGTATTGTAAAACTTCTTGCATTCGCTGAGGCGCATGAGGTAGCTACAAGCGGCCATTTCTTCTTGAGTTCCTATCTGTTTTTTGCTCATGCCTCTCTTATCTGTGGTCCAAGTTAATCGCCGGCCGACATTCTACGCGCTATTATTGAAGGCAACGGTGGTGCGCCAGTGTGTTTGAAGTGGTAGAGCTAAGTTCGGCTTTACTAAATGTACTCGAATCGACTTCGACGGATTGCGGCCGTTGCGTCAAGTGATAAATAACGTGGTTAGGGCACGCAACGCAGATGAAGAGCAGAGGCCAGGCAGGCAAACGAACGAAGAGCATTAAATCAAATTAGATCAAATCAACCTAACAGGCTCAAGGACTTAAACGAGAAGTTTGACAACCTTCTGTACCTGCCTAACGCAGCCGTCAGGAACACCTGACAGAGTAGGAACGTATAAAAAGAGCCAGGACATGGATGAGAGTTAGTTAAGCTCCTTTTTGGCCAGCTTCATTTTAGCGCAAGCCAGTTGCCAGTCTCTATCGCAACTCATCCATATATGAAGATATGAGAAGATATTCAAGCAGTGCGCTTGTTTCGTAAATAAGAGATATTTCAGAAAGATTGGAGAAACACTACTAAATGGCGGCAAGTAAAGCTATGCAGCAGCAGAGCTGCCCCAGCCATCTTAGGGCTTTTTATTTTATCACAACATATAAAACTAGATAAATAAAGTTAGGTAACACTGACGATGGTGATACAACAAGTTGAAGAAATAAACAAGTTCGATGAGAACGTCTAATAGGTATGTACGCTCACAAGCGTTCGTATTGCGATCGCACATTGTAACATTACTAACGACAAAGTGCGGGTGTGGTGAATTCCCTTCCCCATGAAAACAAAGAAAAGATAAGAAGAAAGCAAGATGTTATATCTCGTCCCTATATCTTATTTTTAACTTGTTCTGTCAGATTTCGGTGTGGGTCTAAGCAGAAGATTCTGAGACGATCACTGGGATGATTTGGTCAACAGTGTTTGATGCTAAATTGCTTAGCACATTTAACCGTCTTGCCATGTCTCTACAATGTAACTTCGATCAAGTTAGCATGTGGCAGGAGATCTAACTTGGACAAAAGGCTGGCGTATTATATCTACTCTCAGTCGATGAATTCACGAAACAATACGTACGAGAAAATGACGGCGATTGTCGCGACTGCCCTTTTAGTATTCTACCAAAAGCTTTTGAATGTTTTCCTTTAATAAGGTAAAGCAGGAACACTATTACAATGAAGAGTAGAGTGAGAAGAACTTTAGAGTAGGTCAACGACATACGCTAGAGAGTGAACCGTTTAGAGCTCTAGAATAGAACCGCTAGAGAGCGAGAAAATCAAAGCCAATCGAGACAGCAAGAAGAGATATAAAGGCTACTTGTCGTGCCTAAGCCAGGCTAAAGCTACGAAATGAGATGTTGATCTCCCTTCGGTCTTTTCGACAAACCTATGTGGAACGACCTCACAACATTTGGCGTACGCCTTCAAAGCTCGGCAACACGAGGCAAGTTTTTCCTCCTAGTAAAAATATATGTAATACAGTGTGAAAGGTGGCGCTAGGTGGGCGAAACTGCAAACACATTTTAAGGAAAGAATGACGTTTTTTGCCGTCCTCCTGAAAACCATATAAACGATTTTATACGTAAAAGACAAAGGTGAAGCTTTCTCTTCGGATAATTTCTTGCGTATGGCAGAAAAATGCAGATAAATGAAAGTAGTATAACAGTTTATATGTGCGTAGCATTTTTTAATTCAATTGCAAAACGCTTTCCAGTTGGTAAAAATTTCAAGTATGTATACGAGGTATATGATGTTGAAATACGGCAAATCCTTTGTCCTCTCGAGAAAAAAATTTCGAAATATAGCTTCAGGTAAAAATGGACCGGGTTTTCCTTACCGCTAAACAACGATCAATGCTATGTAATCTTCTGCTGCAAATTTAATTATAATATTGCCACGAAGTGCTGGTATTTATGTACTAATATTGCGATGTGCAATGCGTGTCCCCAGAAAGACCGTGCAACGCATAGCCAGTTTATTAGAGCTGCTGTTATCCGTAGCCAAACGTCTATACGTAGCCATAAATACCTACTTGGTTGGGTAGGCAACTGAGAACAGCAGCGACAATCTTCTGCAGACCTGCTGGTAGCAGAAGTGCGGAGAGGTATATTTAGCTCTGGTTCTTCCGATGTAGTCGATTTGGCGATTACTACGAAACGATGTGCCCCGGAAAGGGTGCAAGTCTACATTGCTAGAAGTCCCGTGCAGTGTCGCACTATATAGGTGCAAGCACGCATTCTTCGAGCCGTCATCATGGCAAGCCAGCCATCATCGTAAGATCTTAATTCATCTTCCATAGGATAGCCTATTGCTGCCCCGTAGGTGCAATTCTTGACACTCTTTGTAAAGTCGTCCACGCAGACCGATGCCCACTAGCCGGCCCGCCGTAGTTATATTTTCATTATTACATACCTCATTTCACTGAATTTGTCCGGGCGATTTTCATAGGACCAGCTAAACGTGGGAAGTATCTGGAAAAGCATACACAAGAAAAGGTGTCATAGCTTTGCGTGTATGCAGGCTAAATATATATTACCCGTGGGAACTCTAAATTGATGTTTCGTTTCTTTATATAGTGTATTAAATCACATGTGTTTGTGTTACGACTTCATGCTCTGCTATTCAAGCTTTGTTCGCATATTAACGAGTCTGCGCAGCAAATTATCAGCGGTCTATAAATCGTCCGCAGACTGAAATAGTGCTCGTCAGTCAGAAATTAGCCTGACTGTCTGCTTTGAAGACATTATGGATTCAAACGTATGGCTTGTGAAAAAATGCAGTGGATACGCACGATACGTACAAGCTAATTGGAGAAAACAAATTGGTCTAGCATATAAGACGAATTGTTCTTTACTTGACACGGAGACAGCAAACTCGTTGTGTGGCAACTAGCGTGTAAATCGGTGATGCATGCAATCGCCTCTTATAGTATATAAGCTTTAGCGGCCACCCGTCACAAGCTGTGATTCAATTGAAGTTGCACGTATTGCACGTATCATGGTGCTGTATTTCACTAATGCAACAGACCGGATAGTCAATAAACGACGAAAAGATACACGCAATATAGTATTTCATTTATATTGGAGCAGAGACTCCACGAACTTCCTCTTCGCGGGTTTGGCGGGAGACTAAAATTACAAGAAGAAGCTCAATTACGCGTTGGGCTTCCTCCTGGATGACCCTCTTGTAGACAGACCTTACCGATAAGATCTGGGTTAGTTCAACATACGAAGAGAGAGTAGTTCGGGGAAAGTCTTCATAACTGGAAGTTGCTCAGAATTTAGTTTGGGTAGCACTTCTAAAGCGACCAAAAAATATTAAGGAGCTCCAGTTTGAATTAGATGAGAGACAGTGCTTTGTAATGTAAATACTCGGCACAATTACTGTTAATCACCAATTATTAGCTACCTTAGATAAGCGAAAGGTGTGTCTGCTCACTGTATCAAACACTGCCGTATAACTTTTTTCTGTCCACACATCCTTAAACACCTATATATATATATATATATATATATATATATATATATATATATATATATATAGGTATATATATATATAGGTATATATATATATGAAACAGTTTTTAAAATTGAGACCTCTTGCGAGAGATAAGAATGTCTTAAGATAGTCTTTAGATTAAAATATTCATAACAGTCCAGCGTCGATACGTCTCACATCATCCTTTTCATGATTTCGCTTTCTTAATGCTTACCTCTATATATATATAACAAGCGTACATAAGGCAATATTTTTCAGCCTGTGTCTACCTATATTCCAAAATTTACGCCCTGACACACTCTCCTATCAGTATCAATTTAAACTTTTTCTTTGTAGCGGGCGAGTCTTCGGTTTTTTGGCACCGATACGATGTGAAAACGACACACAGACCCTTTGTTAACCGCTACAGATACAGGTAGTGACTGACTCAAAATAATTACCTTGTACAGGTTTTTTTTATGTACAAATCAACGTAAAAACACAAACGCTGGTTGTTTTGCTGGTCCCTATGATCTACTTTTAATATATACGCTATTATGCATGTATTAAAATGCACACTTATGGTCGTGAGAGGATTCGCTCACTCACAGATATGAACTCCAAGTAAGACTACAATGATGATGGCCTTACGTAGGTGTAAATTTTTTTAGATAGACGTATGCGAAACATGGCCGGGTGCCGCTTTGCCCTTACTAAAATGCGGCAAGCTCCGCGTGAGATCGGTTTTTCTTTTACGTCTGTGTATGTGCTTATTTATTTAATACGTAGCAACTAGTAGCTGACTAGGTCACAGTCCGACATAAATGACTGTTGGTGTCCGTTCGGTTGAATTAAGAAGTCCGTGCAAAGTTGTTGTTGTTGTCGTTGTTCTGGTATATTATGCCAAAATCAAGCAAATGATATTTAGTTTCGGCATTGTACGTGTAGAAATGACGTTGTCGGCCACTCATTTGTTTTCCATTATTGCTATCTAATGTAGTTTTCTGTTACTTAGCTTTAGGCAGCAACGACCCACAAGCTCATTAATAGAAAATATTAGACTGAGCCAAACGGTGCCCCTCAAACTGTATCGTGCCCAAATTAAGTCATATATATATATATCCGCTGCGCGTCTACTCGAGCGAATAATTTAAAGTCACTAACCTTATGGAACAATTATAAAAAATGCATTTACAGGTCTGTAACCATCTATAGATAGACTATTATGAAGTAAACCGTATGTAGTGTTGTGATTTGACTGGCGGATTTTTAGCTACGTAAGCGTGGTTATATTGTAGGGAAAAATACCGGAAAAAATCTCCATTCTGTTAAAAAATAGTCATTTCCAACTTTTAATTGTCTTCCAGCATTGTACTAAACTTTAGCTTTACATTTAAGTATCGGCTAGCGCCTATTAGTGGGCAGCCATGCTACGATTGTGCTCCTTGCGCCTGACAGCAATAAAACACCTAGTGCAGAGTGGCCGGATCAGTTTTGTATGACGCCTGAGCTTGGGGGGAAGAGCAGATCTGTCCATTTTTTCTATCGGGACCGGTCGGCCTACTCATTGGAGCACTTCGCAAGACAGCAAAGTCGCAGAATAAACCGGAGCGTATGTAAGGCCCTACATACTGGAACGTATTACTATTGCAATTCGAGAGCCGCTACCGGGAGTTTGAAATAAGGGTCAAAGCGGAATCTGAAAAACCTGACGACCTGAAGATGACCGAGCGACTGTTGGCCCTAACGGGCAGCAGCTTGTTAATGAAATAGGAGTGGACTGCCAGTAGAAGAAGCAGCTTTGCTGCTACTATCTGACTTCAGAGGACTTCACTTAGTACAGCTGCTGCACTTCTAAACGAAAAAGGTAGGTAAAAGGAAAGCAACTCAGGATCTGCAACTGCAAGTCGGGATTTACTGTTGCTGGGGAGAAAGACAAGGGTCGATAAGAGGGGCACCGGACCCACTTTCCTAGTTTATCTGTCCGACCCAGGGGAGTCCGTCTCTTTCAGTCAGACCTTCGTTTTATTTTGCTGGCAGTCGCAGCTGACAACATAGGTCTTGTTGGTTCGCCCTAAAAAACTTCCGACTGTCCACTACGTCAAGTCCAGTGTTCCCATGGACTTTTGCTCGTTCTTTGACTTTTGCGCGATTCTCGCTGGCCGCAGATCCTGCAAGCAAGATCTCAGTCATTTTTGTCGCAGGAGGCTAAACAGTGAAAATAGAGGAAGAGAATAACGCAGCCCCTGCACTGCAATGCGGCCCAGATCTCTCAGCACCACGTCGCAGGAGGCAGTAGCCCACTCGGCCCCGGAATGTGCTAGGCGAGATGAGGCTGCCCTTCGTAGTTTCGGACGACATATGCCCTCTACTAAACTGTTTCTATCCATTGCCGTTGATTCCTTTTTTCTGCTTTAGCTTGGTTACCTTGTATGCCTGCATGGTGCCCACCTCTGCAACATTCTTCCCGCCCAGCAGCAAGATGCCGCCGCCCTCTAAGTCTGCTGCCATCGCCAGCAGGAGAATCCACCGGCACCTCTTCCAGCAGTGAAGTCCTTGTTTCAGTCAGCGTTGTACGCGGTTGTCTGTCGGCATGTGTCTCGCCAGCACCCCCCAGACCTCCCTTTCTTTCTGTATGTTTCTATACTGTTTAGTTTTTTCATAATAGCCTATGATGTTCGCTATTTCCCTACGTTCAATTTTTTTATTTTCTCCAGTCAAGACGTTTGTCTGGCGGGCGTTGATTTAGTCGGTCAGAGCTCTGACTGAGAACAACTGCCAGCATGCCCTCACATTGCTCAGCGTACGATCTAGATGAGCTATGACCTAGCTGGACTGCACTCCTAATACAGTCAGCATCATTGTTATCGGATACGATAGCTCGGAAGACATGGGTAGCTGGTTTTCTGTGGCATTAGTGATTTGTCCAATTCCACGGTCTTCCTTATTGCTCCAGTTTAGACTCGCTCAGTCTCTCGAAGGCTGCCACCTGTTGGTTTTCCACGCCTTCCATCTTCTTTTTCAAAGTGTATACCTTGAAACGCCTGTTGTACCACTCGTAACGGTTGTGACACTGTAGCTTGCTGTTAGAATAGACACAGCAATACTTTGGCCCGCTTTTCCCTTTCGCTTCTGATTTTGCGGCTCGAACAAAGAAAACCAACAATTGGAAAACGACTGGACCTGGTGTTGATGATTCTGCTGCACACTCAACAGACCTGTTTAACCTGACGGAGCTCTCTACAGAAATGCTGAGATTCACACTGGTCAAGTATCAGGTTCACGTCCTCTTTTCTTTCGCATTCTCACGTAACCTACCTGTGAGCACTATTCCCGTTTGCAGCAGTTCTGCTTCCCTTTTTTCTGACGATTGAGAAGGGTTCCCTTGCTGGATACCTGGGACAGAACCCATCTGACACTACGCGGTAAAAAAGACTAGAGAGTGATCGAACACTTCAGCAGTTGCCGAAAAGGGCTGGCTGACTATTTGTTCCTAAAGAACCGAGAAGCCAGGCTGGTTGTTAGTTCTTCCTTTATTAGAGGCAGTCGCCGAGCTGATGGCAATGGCGACTAACGTTACGGCCGGTACGACAAATAACTAACAGGATACTAGAAAGGTGACTACTCCCACTAATGCAAACGACGCAGACAGACTAAATAATACGAGGGGACCAGTGGGAAATGTATAGACTGTCACCGAAAAAATCTTAGGCTTTCAGGGGGAAAAGCGGCAGCAGACGTCGCAGCAGATAAGGTGGTAATTTGGCTTAGGCTAGGCCGGGGCAGGTCACCGTTGCGATGACGGGCCCGGCCAATTCGAGGGCAACGGGAAGAAAAAACGTGGAGAATAGAACGGGTATTTTCCCCATCAGGAAAGGAAAGAAAGTAGGAAAGAGAGAAAGGAGAGAGAGAAGCAGTACGGCAGCGAACGTTCACTGGGCAGCAGCGGCGGCGGCGGCATTGTCTATTGCACCTGGATGGTTAGCGCTGGCTTCATTACGTTAACGGGCGACGTACCCGTGCGACAATTGAAAATGCTGGCCTATAGCGACAAACAAAACACCAATGAAGTGTTCTTGAACTACAGTCGCCGCCCCTAATAATGAAATAAGATGCTACGCTAATGCAGCTAGATAACTAGATATTAAAAGGCAAAACAAGAGGCTGTCTTTTGAGACCCGGACGGTGTTTGGGCTAAGCGTAAGCTTCGTAACGTAATATAAGCTGTTGTGCATGCTCTACCATTGTCTGAATGACTCGAGGGTTTCAGCACGATATTTGGCCGATATAGGTCTAATCTTTTGTTGGGTTGATTCGTAGGAATGTGCCGTTCTGACGCAGGGGACTTGCTGCAGGCAATGCAGATGGTCTAGACTCTTATTAGCTACAGTGAGACACAAGTAGTCGTAGTTAGTCGTGTTGAACCTATAAATTTAGTTCGATTTACTCTAACTTTTGTTAAAGCACAGTGTCCGGGTGGCCGATAGACGGCCTGCATAGAGAACTTCACTTACAATTATGATAGAGCTTAAGCGCATAATGGCTGTTTACTGTTATGATGTTGTGCCGACACGGACAAATGAGTGTTGAACTGATGACATATATAAGCGAAAACATCAATCTGAGGTCGTAAAGACGCCCTGTGTAAGACAAGGTCAGATATTAATTTCTTGCCTTTTTTAGTATTTAATCCAATAGTATCTGTTGTCGGTGTTTTCGTTGTCTCACAGTGAAAATCTAGGTCACTGGCCGCGTCCCTTACGAGTCACGTAATCAAGTATATAACATTGTTTTTTGCTACGTAGATGATGGTGGACAATGAAAACCTCACTTCGATATACGTGCTGCTAGATAGTCATGTATGAAATGCATTAGTAATAACAACAACACTGACAGAAATTAAAGAAGCCAGCATTTAGCAATATGTAAGATACATATACAATTGTATTACCATTGATTTAATCCTTTGACCTGTATATGTTGTCAATTGCCGATAATTAAAGTTAAAGAAAAAAAACACTGTAATATTTATCTTATTATATTTATCTTATTTAATTCAGGTAAGGCCATATCGTCAGGAATTTTTTGCCTGTTCTAATAAATCTCAAATTCACTATGCTTTAACTGTTTCGATAGCTTAACTTTTAAAATAAATGGCGCCAAATATGAATTTAAGCAGAACGGTGAAATGCTAGTTCACAAATGCTGATTCTCTATTCGTAACTAGAGCCAGATGACTACTAAGATACTACCAATTACTAAGATAACTTTGACGACACGGTACTTTATCTACTTTTCGGGCGTACACGAGAGGTCATTATGAAGTATCAGCGCATGCCCTGGTACTTCATAATGCCTGAACGAAACCTAAGTGGTTCGAGGGAGTTTATAGCTGCTAAAAACCGGGGAGTGTGAGTGCGGTTCTAGTTAAGTTACCATGGTTATTTGATTCTACTATAACGATAGAACTATAGTTGTTTTTGGCCAGCTCACCTTTCACATGCTTCAGCCCTTGTTAGTTCCGGCGCGCTGTCCGGTAGCCTACTTGTCTGTTTTTCAGATTATCGGTTACTCGACCGAATGTTTACACAGAGCATCTTCTAAGAAATCTCGCTTCAGGTTGGTTTGGCTTTCCGATGATTGTTGGCTTTGATCTGCTGGGCTGAGTATTGACTTGTGCTAGCTGGCCTTGCACCGTGACCTTTGAGGCCCTGTCTAGTGTTTGCGTATGCACAAACTCAGATTATTGTTCTGCCCCTAGTCTTATTATTGTCGTTACCGCTAAGTCTCCATGGCGGGCCACCTTGAGATTCCCGAGTCTTAGGCGTTGATGATTAACTGACTTTGGTCATTGAGGTGTGCGATGTGGCGCAATGGTCAAGAAAGTTGGGTTGTGTCGGCGAGGTAGGGCAGCAGATAAATGAACAGCCACGCACACAGAGCCAGACGGGCGCAGACACGGGCACACACGGGGGGAATAGCAAGGGGAATTGGCCGGTGCAACGGGAGCAGCGATCGATTGATGAGACGTGTAAAGGCAAGCTGCATTGTCTACTATGAAATCGCCCAACGACTCGAAAGCACAAAAGTCCATATCTGAACACCGCAGCCTTAAGGCCCAGTCAACGAGCTGAAAAACAGACCGACTGGCAAATAATATATAGGTCAAGTTACGGAAATTGCTGTTATTAGAGGTGAAAGCGATTAAATCTAATGCGTAAAACTGCAAGCGCTGCAGCCTGTTATATTGCATCTTTCAAATATTCTACAGTACATCAACAAAAAAGAGAATCGTAAACCAGCAGTCAGGCGCACAAGTCTATTAAGCAATAGTAATACGTGTAGAAATGGTATGTTTCAACATTTAATTCAAAGTTTCGACAACATGAGTTCGGATTGCGAAAGAGACACACACCTCTGTACAATGGATTACATAACGCAACGACGATCGAAATGTATTCGTGCGTGCGTAAGACTAATCACCTACAATCTTTGTCAACCTCTTCGTAGCCAATGGTGCAGATACATAACTTGGTAAAAATGTAATGATGTGCGACCATTCAGACATAACAAATAACGAATACGTAAACAAAATTGCTAGGATATTTCACGCTATACATACGAGGGTGAAGGAAACAGGCAAGGTCGAACTGCCTCAGTTAAGCTCCATAGGGACTATGACTACATCTCGAACGGAAGTACTATGGAGCGTGCAAAAAACGACAGTTTCTCTTGGACATCGGCAACGCCAATGAAAGGCGGCCACCTCAGCCCTATCAACCGCAACGGCCGAAGCTGACAGCCGTTGAACCCGTTGAGTTGAGTGCATTGATGAGCTCCGACCCAAACTCAAAATCACCACGTATGTGCTACACCGTCTACGTCAGCACCGAGGTACGAGAGGTCAACATCCATAGAGCGCCGGAGTTTTCGGCCGAGAGATCTTTAACAGGCAGGCCGCTTTCTCAACGCGTGAATCGCCCTGTCTCTCACTGGCTTTTCGCTTCACCATACCGAATAGTAGTGAAGCATCGGCAAGACAGCTGATATCGAACCATTCATTAACACCTAGATGTTTAGTGAATATTGAAAGAGTAATTTTATGTAGAAGTCTATCTACAGGCTGATTTTCAAGCTGAGTGTGTGGTGTCTATTTCAATGGAAGGCCATCTCGGATGTAGCGAGCCACATATAGCAGATCGGTAGAAAAGAAAATATACTAAAATAATAAAAGAGTGAAATTGAAAGTGAAGTACAGTTAGAATATCCGTCCCGTCTGCGTTATGAAAACGTAACGTGTACACGTATCCTTTTTTGTTGTCGTGTATTTAGAATGTTCTAATACTTTTTTCGGTCTATTTCCGTAAAAGCGGATTGTTCAAGATGGTCTATATGGACATAGATTCGAGATAAATTAGGGATCTTTTGAGCGGGCGTGTTTATCGTAAAAAGCGTATGTTTACTTCTTCTAACTAGTAACTAATAACTAGTAAGTAAGAGGTTCATTTTGGCAAGATAAACAAACTTAACCATTATCTAATGCCTTCAGATTGGAAATATCGTGCGTGTGACTATGTATTTACTCGGTTACTTTAAATCGATGGTTTGTGTTGCTCCTTGGCACCATGTGGCTTTCGAACCGTTCGAAGGAGACCTTATGTGCTAGCATAAAAGATCCACAGAAAAGCTAAACTGAGAGGAGTAAGAAATTTGTTTCTAAAAAGGCTTCAAAATGCATATCTGATGATGCTGATATCCCTATTTAATCCTTGAAACGAGCGTGTCGCATAATTCATCAAGATTTTAGGCCGTCTTCCCAAATCCAAAAGGGCATTCATCACAGACGCAAAGGCTAGCAAATTTCCTCACTGCTTCAATCTTTCGTCCGAGAGAATCATAATTTTATTGAAAGAACACATCTGCCAAAAATGTTTCAAATATTCATTTTCAGATTGTCAGAATTTATCTTAAACACCATATCTATGCTCTTAAAATGGTAGGGAAAATTTTACGTTCTACCTGATATTTGACATAATTTCAAAGTCGGCAGCTGCTACTTGATTCACCTGGAACGGCCCGACTTCAATCGCATGGTTCTTCATTCGTTTTCATAATTTTGTCAGAGTTGCGGTATTTTAATTAAAATCGTGTAGCTAAGATTGTATAATCTCTAAGGAAACTTTATGCCAACGTCACAACCATAAATAGTAGAAAACCGACATTTAGCATATTTGATTAAACTTCACAGTTAAATGTGTTTCTGAATAAAAGTATAGGCTTTAACAGAATAATGTATATAGTCAAGGAAATTACCCTGGTGCTGCAGGAGTTGGAGGATGATAAATTCTGCTTTACAAATGCGATGTGGTATCCCCAGGCCATATTTAATGTTTACATCATTTGCGTATTGTGCTCAGCTCCTCGTCACAAACGTCGTTCCCCCTTTCGTCTGTGATTGCCGCAGAACAAAGTTAAATCATATAAATACTACAACGTAGCACGATGGTAGGTTTTTTTCAGCACTTAAAGGTTAAAGTGCCGTTGCTTTAGAGGCATAGGATATAGAACTCAATGAGTACATAAAAGCTTCGATTAGCTGGAGGGGAAAAACTGCTGTGCAGACAGATACCAAATACCAGTTTTCACCTTGTAGACGAGTGGCACGGCTGGCCCACGTGGTAATAGCAGGAAAGTCGTATCGAGAATAAAAATTTGTTCGCATGGTCATCGCGCCTCTGCTGTCATTCTTCCTCTTCTTATTTTTACTTTTTGCCAAATGTGGCAAGCAGACCCGCTTATACCTGAACAGTCCTTTTCCCTATGGCAACATCTCTTACGGGTGGCCGTTGAACATTGGCTATTGTTACCTTTCGCGTTTCATTTTTGTTGCCCTTCCGTACTAGGTAAGCTTGACACCCTCCGACTGAGGAGAATACAGCTAGATGTAGCTCCCTCGGGATTTTACGAGGATTGGCTTATATGTACTCTAGGCCTTTTTGGTTTCATGCGAAATAGGCTGCGTTGATTTTGAAGGCCGTCCCTCTGAACTAAAGGCGGATATTTGGAAAGGCAGAGAATAATGTCGTCCGTTAGAACCTGTACCTACAGGTCGCTTCACAAGATAACGCTACGTGAGTAGATGCACCAAGGCTACTATAAGAAAAATCACAGGACCAACACCGCACATACCTCATGTTTTCTATCTGTTTCAACTGTAGTAATGTGGGTCAAACTTGCCTTGGGTCAAAACTACTATAGTGAGAGTAACATTAATTCCAGAAGACCCGAGACAGTTTCGTCAACTTTACCATAGTATTGTTTTACCATAATACGGAGTTGTCTACCCGGGTATTCAAGTATTAGTGACATAAAATTATAACCAGTTTCAGTCCGGCCACTAGTCATCTACAAAGAGTACTAAGCTATACGCTATGGCTGGCTATAGCAGTAGAAGTATTTTTCTTTGTAGATGCCTCACAATATCCGACCCTGTAGCCTCTTTGGGCATTGTTAGGGGAGCCTTAAGGTGCACACAAACGGTTTCTCAGCCGCACAACTTTCATAGTTGTCCCGCTGGTTTTATTTGAGCCTTTAGTTACGGTGAACCTACCTTCTACGAGAAGCATCTTTTTGAAAACGCCTTAGCTTTACGTACACTCAGAGTAGAGGCGAATGTGCGGCTCTGTGAGGTCTCACTTACCTATATATTGTTATAATATTCAATTATACCTATAGTCGCTATAAAGTTACACGGAGTTTCAAATAGCTGGTTGCGGACACTAACTACAACGAGGAAATAACAAAAACGGGGTCCAAAAGTCAAGGTCATTGACAAGTAACCCTATGGTACATAACGAGACAGGTCCAACTCACTGGCTTCGGAATCGGTCATTTCCATGGATGTAAGAAATCATCTACTTATACTTATTACCAGAGCCCTTGCGTCGGGGGATCAGTCGGCCAAACAAGTGCCGAACCGAATTTGCGAACGATCAACCGCACCGATCTGTCTGTAGTAATGCAATCTTCGTCTGTTTACAATAGCAAAAAGAATTAGTTTAATTTAGTACCAATCATTAGGCAAAGATTGAGCATTACGCGAAAAGCGAATGCTAGGTCTCACCATTCACAAGCGACGATGTCTATCAGCCATGCTGTTGATCGTTGTGTTTTTCAACGGCATATATTTCTTCCACAGTGACATTCTGTAACCTATTCTAATACGAGCCTAAATTAGCGTGGACGTTGTCGCTGGCATCGCTGACGCCTCTGTGTCGCTGAAAGGATCGAGACTGTGACTGACTTCCGCGGCAATGACCGGCTAATAAATGCGAAACAGTTTTCGGACATCAGGCAGAGCAGGATTAGCAACTGTAGCAGCTGTGAACGCAGCAGGGCTCTCCTATTCATTGCCAGTGACAACAACCATAGTGACGATTCTTTAAGAGACAAAGTCATTAGGCAACAGATCTCTTTACGGTTGTTGTTATTGTAAAGCGATACCGCTACCCTGCTGCCGCTTTTCACTGTTAATAAACGTCGGAGTACCCGAAGCGATGGAATAGCTGAGTTGATGTCAGCGCCGGGGCTGTTCCCACTAGGGCCGCGACTACGGTGGCTCTCAGTACTATTCGTCCTGTTGCTGACGCTAACGCGTGACGCCCGGCCAAACGACAAAAGTAAAACGAATAACATCTACTGCAAACGTCAAAAACGCCAATACACATGGATACGGCAAGCAGAAGTTGACGAGTCGACATGATGACTGGTGATCGCGGCGGCAACGTATCGGAAAAGCGGCCTGCTAGAAAAGCGATGGGGTAACGAGATACGAAACGCGTTGGCAACAAAAGGCGTGAGAGTTTCGCAGACGCGAATCTGAGCAAGGGCAAATCCGAGACCGTCTGACAGAACACAACAACAGCACAAAATAAGCAGACGAGAATGGATGAATAGAAATGGAACGCAGTGACCTGTTTTTCAAAAAATATTTTTTGTGCGCCCTTGTGAACTTTTTTTTTGGCTGCATAACTACGGTCGTTGTTATTGCTTTTAGGTTTAATGTGTTTTTGGCAGCAGTGGTACAATTTACGAAGTAGACAAATACGCGTCATCAACGACGATTGGGGCGGG